TATTATAATCTTTTCAGTTCCATCTTTTCTAAACCCAGGATTTTATTTATTGCTTTACTTATTACTACAGCAAGAGCAGCACCACTGCACTTAAACCAAGAATGATGAACTGCTACGTGTGATGCTCTAAGTAGTAATACTAGTAATGGCCCTGAGCCTAAAAGATCCATCATCTAAGCTCATGAAAAGCACTGGTCACACATGGACAAGATAATATCCTTAAGAAACACGGTTTGCACACAGAGCAGTGGTTTCAGCTCATTACCAGCTGTTGTCCAGGGAAGCTAGGGGAAAACATGGGCAATTTCAAGAAGAAAACAAAATCCTCCTTATTTGAATAGGTAGCACTCACCCCGGGGCTTCTTCGCTTCAGTGTGGAATAAACAGCATGTATGCTCATGCTGTGTCCCCAGGACATGTGCGAATTTCATTCTCTTTAACAGAACTAATGCACCAAAATCCTTGCAAGTTGAGCTTGAAATCTTCATAATATTAGAAATGTCACAACAGGGTGACATTCAAATTTGACTGTGCTGCCAATGCAGCTTCTTTTATGCCCAGCATGTTATGTTGTCCCGAAACACCCTCAGAAACAGGGAGAACACCTGCACTTATCAATTAATATTTCTGCAGCACATCTAACTATGCCATACTGTGCATATGCAGAATGGTCCAGAATTAGTATAACCCAACAAACGATCTCTAATCGGGAGCCAGTTACCTACAGCCTTAGCCAGATTCCTGCCCCAGCTCCCGTGGGCCTTTGCTCCCTTGCCCTGGCTTGGAGTGGCAGCAATGGGATCATGTCCTTTTGAGAAGGGAAAAACACTAGGAAATTGTCTTCCCTTCATCCCCCAGGTCATGGCAGGGACACAGGAAATGCAGGAGGAGACACCTGTGTGGGTCAGAGGAAAGAAGAACACAGGAGCAGCCCAGAAACGCTGGAGTGTTTACACAGCACCGACCTGCTTGGTGATCCTGTGACCGGGACGTTCAGATGGCTCCCGTGCCTTGCTTGATGGGCTGCTCTGCCCCGTCCTGGGACAAGTGCCAGCACGGGGCGGTGTGTGACAGCCTCTCTCGCTGTTTGGAGTCAGAACCTGGAATGCTGTAAGCACAGGTCAGCCAGTCCCGGCTTCCAGCATGGTTATGAATGGAGAAGTTTGGACTCTCTCCCTTGTATTTTGGTCCCTCATCAGAGGAACCTACGGCAGATTTAGCCATTACAAACTGTGCCATGACATTTGCCACAGCCTGGAGAGGATCACTCAAGTCTTGGACCCTGTCCCCACTGCCTGGGAGAGGCCACAGGAGCTGGCTGGCAGCTGGCGGTGGAGATTCCTGCTCCTGGGGACATGCTGACGTGGTGGCACCCGGCTGGTGCTGCAGGAGTGAATCACCACCACCTCTCCTAGGAGTGGTGCTCCCCGGACAATGGCAGGCCTGGGAACTGTGTGCAGCCACTCCTTACGACAGACAAACTTGGAAAGGAAAAGCAAACAGTTTATTTGACTAAACTGCTTAACAAACCAGCACCTGTTCCTTGGAGGAAGAAAAGGGGAATAAGTTACTCTGCCAAATAGTTTTGAGACAAATTGACTTGTACTGTTCTGACAGACCTGCACAATTTTTTCCTGGCTTCCTCCAGGCAGCAAGCTCCCCTGCCCAGTTAGCCCCAAAGACAACTTACACAGCTGTCTGGAAGTGGGGTGCAAAACCTTCATCCTTTGGCTCTGTTTTCTTTGAGATGAGCATGAACTTGCAGTCAAGTTCCTCTTTTTATTCTGCTCTCTGGACAGAGTTCTGCTCGGTGTAATTCCACCCTCACTGCTTTCCGAATCTCCATCCTTAGGTCTCAAGTTTTGACACACCTATAGCTGTGGTTGTCAAGGAATAGCCCCGGAGTGGTTCTCTTGGTTGGGCAAACCCAGACAGGTATAGTACGGGGTCAGCTGCAAGTAAATATCACAGCATAATGCAGATCTCCCCTTGCTGAAAGTTAAGAGAAGTTTCATCACCTCCAAGGACACATGACCTTGCATTAATTCGGGTTTAATAATATCTCTCCTCAGAGCTCTTCATTACACCAGCTGTAAGTGAGGACAATGAATGAAGCTCATTAGCAGTGCGGTACGACGGCAGGCACACGGCCACGGAACACAAGTGCTTTCGGAGTAGATGACTCCTGAACTCCACATGCCAGGATGACGGACAGGACACTCTGGCCATGCTGGCGGCCTTCTTGTTGCACTTTGGTTCCCTGCTGCTAAGCGTGGCAAAGGAAAGGTTTCCCGAGTCTCTAGCTGACAGTTCCTTAAAGTCTGCTCGGCCCCAGGTGCATGAAGCAACCTCTGCTCCCAGGCAGCCAGATGGCTAGCTGCAATCCACTCACTCCTTAATTAACTTTGGGGTTTTTTTTTCCTCTGTGGGTTGTTTCTAGGAGAAAGGGAGCTGACAGCGTGTTTGTTTACATGAGATTGATTTGGCCTGGCAGTTCCCTGGGTCTATACTAGGAATTTTGAAGTGTCTTTGGGCTTTGTAATCACCATAAAAGGAGTAGAAGATGAGAATCCAAGGGGATTTCTAGGATGTATCTAAAGAACTTATGTAAGTATGGAGGTTTGCCGCAAGCCATATGCAGATGGGCAGCACATGAAACAAAGCTGATGGGGGCAAACTAATCTGAGGCCTCGGTTACTGTGCACTGTTGAGCTGCTGCAGCGTGTAATTAACTTTAAACGCAACAACAACAAACGCTGACCTGTAAGCAGCTCCGCGAAACCCTGTGGAGTTGCTTGCGTGCACAAAGTTACACAACGTACAGAAAGCAGTTGTTGGATGGAAGGCTGAAGGCGTATCCCTCTGCACAGACGATGATGCCAACCAGCAGTACCACCTATCTAGACCAAAAAGCAGAAGGGTGTCAAGAACCTGCACTAGGAGTTAGCAACTAAAATGCCCAGATATAAAACTAACAGGTAGAAAAATCATTTAAATAACAGATCAAAAGTAAGTTTTCCCTGCAATCCAGAGTTGTGAAACAGCTTTTACGCCGGTTGACTAGCTGCCGCTGGCAATCGAGCTCTGGCAGCACGCAGGTGATGTTCTGGAGACCCCAGCTCAACGCCAGGCAGGCTAGCAAGCACCAGGCTCCCTATCGCTACGGAGGACAAAAGCATGGTCTGGAAATGAGCAAGTAGAAGGGAGGGTGGGGAAGCTGTCCCAGCCCACTGTGTCTGAACATACGGAGGTTACAAAGGATTAGAGACAAAAGGAGGCAGCCAAATAACAAAGGAAAAAGGATTATGGAATATTTTTTTCCTCCAGAAGTAGCGAGTCGGGAAGGCTGAAGGAGATGTGTGAAAGAAGAGGTGGAGAGTAATTCTGAATCAGGATGGTCTTAAATGTAAAGGATGAAGCACACCGCCCACATCTGCCACTGAATGGAGATCTCTTGAGATGAACTTTTTAAAAATTACTTTGAGGCCACGTCGGTTCTGACACCGGAGCAGTTCGCAAAGAAAGGGACAAACGCCGTGCATCTCACAGGCTGCAATTTCATTGCAGAGATAAGACAAGGGCAAAGCTGCTGCAAAAGCGTGCCTGGAAAATCATGGAAATCGCAGCGGTGCTCCCTGCTATTTTGCATCAGAGATTGGTTTCTTAATTACTATTTGTTGAATCGTATCCCAGATGAACGAGCAGAGTCCTCCCCCTGGTGGCAAGTACAAAAGACGTAGCAATGATTTCCTACAGTCACGTCAATCTGAGGCTATAAATGAAATAAGGAGCATCAGATAGGACCTATTTTTTATTAGGTCAACTGATACAGCTGGGAAAAAAAGAGGCAATTTTGCAAAACACAAGTCTTTTTTCCGGATTTACACAGAATTATTTACTTTGAAGGTTGATACAACTTGAGAATAATTGCCGAGTTCAATTTCATCCTTAATTTATTAGACAATTTGCAAGAGAAGCAGAGGCTAAAATCTGTAGAATAACTCCTAGTAGCTGAGCAGGGTAATTGTAATGTGCAATAATCCCATTATTTCCACCGAGTCCTCATCTTTTAGTGCTCAATTGGGTTTTGTGTCTAAAATGCCTTAAAGGCAGACTGGTCTGGAAAGTAAAATTTGTAACACTACTGAACAGCTAAAATTGACCCTGTGGACAAGTTGGATTTATTGGATACAACAGTTTTCCCCAACTAAATGTCCTCAGATAGCTCTTTAAAAATTATCTGTAGGAAATTATCTGTGTTTGTTATGGGAAGTTATGGCAAGTGCCTTTTGGGCAGGATTTTTTCCTTTAGATGACTAGTTTGGTGGATGAAGGAGAGCAGAAAGCGTTGTTTTGGCTTTACTGGTGCTTTCTTCACTGTCTCCCATAGCACCCACCTAGCCAAACTGCTGCAGTACAGCCCAAATAAACAGGCAGTGAGGTAGACGAAAAACTGGCAGGATGCTGGGCTGAGAGGGGCTACTCACTCGTGGCGTGCCGTGGGGTCACTACTTGAACATCTTCATTAACAGCCTGGATGGACGGGCAGAGCCCACCCTCAGCAAACTGGCAGATGATGGAAAACCGAGGAGAGTAGTTGATAATCAGGCAGTTGTGCTGCCATTCAGGAGCTCAACAGGCTGGAGAAATGGGCAGAGAGGGTTGTCACAAGTTCAACAAAGGGAAATGCAACGTCCTTCACCTGAGGAGGAATAACCTGTGCACCAGTTAGGCAGGGGGATGACAGGCTGGAAAGCAGCTTTGCAGGGAGGAGGTGGGAGTCCCAGTGGAGAACAAGCTGACCATGAGGCAGCAATGCACCCTCGTGGCAAAGAAAGCCAGCGGCATCCCGGGCTGCAGTAGGAAAAGCGCTGCCAGCAGATCAAGAGGTGACTTTTTTCCCCTCTGTTTTTCTTTTCATCTCCAATAGATGAACACTGGGCACTGCCCTGCCCTCAAGAGCATAGGTAGTAAAAGAATGGCTGAATTAGAATGACATAAAAAGCAATTGTTTGGTTTTTAATTATAAAAAGGAGAAACCTTCAGCTGTGACATTCACCATGAATAACCCCTGCAACATAAACAAAAATATATTCCCCCGTGCTTAAGAATGGCAAGCTCTGCCCTTTACCACAAAACACTGGCTGCAGGCTTATGTTTAAAAAGGTTTAATTTTCACCCTGGTACAAAAATACAGTACAATGTGATGGCAAGGCATCCGCCAAAAAACATTCAAAGAGTAAAAGGGGGAAACCCCGTAAAGCTTCAACATAACCCACCCCTCACTTGATAGAACAATCATAAGGTGAGTGCACAAGGAAAAGGTGAAATTTCTGCCCAAGGGCAAATAAAAATGAATCACACACCGTTTTACACAAAAATATGTTTGCAGAGCTAATAATTTCACATGCTACTTGGACATTCATTAAATTTATTCTACTTGGCTTAGTGGCAGAATTCATGGCTTGGGATGTCTAGAAAACACCTGGCCCAGAAACATTCATAGGAATCCCTAGTAAAAACAGTGGGATCACATAATACCAGTGAGAAAAGAGGGATCCAACCCTGATTAAGTGTCAAAATGTTGGCTGCTTCTAGTTATTCCAAACACACTGTTTGTCCTCAAATAATGTTTTGCCCTACACACCTCCCTGTTAACATCAAACATATTAGTGGTTACTCAAACACACAAACAGATGTGTTTGCACATTACCTAGTTGCAAATAACCGTTACAGTATGAACTGCCAGGGAGAGGAGGAGCTAACACTAACTGATGCATGTGTGTGAACTCCAAACGGGGTTTAACCTAACACTGTTGATGGGAGAATTGTGTCCCTCCAGTGCCTCTACATTCTTGGTCTGTTTAATCATTTCCTTTTAGAGTTCTGAAGTGATGCATCCTGCAGCGGGTTCCTTAGAGTTCATCTCCCAGGTGTTTTTGTTTGAAAGCATCACCTGTTAGCTTCTCCTGGGCCTCCTTCATCCCCTGGACAACTGGAAGATTAGACAGAGAGAGAGCAACTATTAATCTCCGAGATGAAAACATCAAGGTGTCCTGGTAAGGAGAGTGTTTTAAACTAACAGTTACAGAATGTAGATCCACAAATTAACCCACAGGGGGAAAAAAACCCCAAACCAGTCTTGTACCCTTTTCCCAACTATTTGTAGCTGCACCACGTGAACTGCATGATTCTCCATGCCACTACTGGAGACAAAGTTGAGGTCCTACAGACATTATATATAGTAGGTGTTAAGGTGCATCGTGATTCTGATCGTGGTTCCTGAAGGCACCAGAGAGCCACTCACTCACGCTGCATCCAACAGCTCCCAGTGTGCTGTGAAGTACCGCCATTCTTCTCCACTCAAAAGCGAAAGGGAGTCCTTCACTCGGGACACACCCAGCGTTTCATCTCCCTACAAACACACTCCAAACTACTTTGCACATACCTTGATCAGCATTGGTATAGAAATACTTGTAGCTGGGGTTTCCTTTCTCATTTATGATTTCCGGGTGGACTTTTCCACTGGGGTCTACGAAACAAGAAACCAAAGGGGAATTTTAGGTGGTAACAATACAAACACAGTTCTGCGAGTGGATATAACAGCTGTGGATGCCCTACCCATGAAAAGGATTCTGGGAATGTAACCTCCATCGGGACTAAAGTCTTCATCCTTTGGCTCCTCATCATCCTACCAAAGCAAGACAGAAGAGAGGGAACATACAAGCAACAGAGCTAACAAAACACAGCACTCAAAGAAACGAGCTATTGCCTTCAGATCCCATTTATCCTGAGCAATTTACATCTTGAACAGATGCTAGGTAACTGCAGCATCTTCCACTCTCCAGGGGAAGGTGGCTATACTCACCTTAACAACCCTAATTAGTGACAACAACCCTAATTTTTCTGTTCTGTCAATTTGCATTAAACACTCCGCTTTGGTGTAGGAATGTTAGATACTGCATGAGAGAATGAATATAAATTCCTTCATTGCAGCAACAGAACGACACAAGGTACAAATTGCTAAAGAGCCAATAGCCGAGAGCCAGGTTTATCAACACTATTAGAATAACCAGACTGAGGAAGATGATTTTTAAAACAGCTACATAAATCAACCCCAAGTACCTATGCAGGACTGCACGATTTGGGATGTACATAAATCAGGATGCAACCAGATAAGCAGAATTCCAAATGCCTAATTACCAGGCAGTAACATGGATACAAATCACAGAGCAGCCTACCTCGAGGTTGACCATAACAAAATTATGGGCGAGTTCCGAGATCTCCTTGGATTCGGCGAACTTTGGCTTTAAAGCTAATTGAGGTGGAAAAGAAAAGAAAAGAGAGAGGCATAAAGACAGTGGAAAATATTTCAGGTCAGCATCAAAATATTGACTTCATCCCTCCCTCTGGAGAGCTGGTGCTTTTCCATAAGCAGTGAGTGAACGATCCACCCGCTGAAGCCAGGCTGAGAAGAGCAGGTAGCTGAAGCAAGCCTTGCCGGGCAGTGACAGGCCAACAGACATACACCGTCATCTTTGAACCGGTGGAACAAGCAAAAAGCCGGGTGTAAACGGCCCGCTCTCACTCAACCAGCTCGCATTTGTGACACTGAAAGGGACAAAGGCCTTTGAAGAACCACCAGCTGAAAGTAAGGCAATTCCTACTTCATTCCTGAAGATCATTCTGTTCCATTTTTTATAGCTAAGTGCAGAGAAATTGCAGCTACTACAGAAGAGCAGCATTCCAGCTGTTAGGGCACAGCTGGCTCTTGGCATGTGAACAGGGGAAGTGGTGCAATATTATACCGCTCTGAATGAGACACAAATACCATTAACTACGTTCTGAATGCGGAGCTCGTGTCGCTCACGGCGACATGATTCGTATTCAAAGGGCCCCCAGAAATTTCAGTGAGGTCTAATATTAAACACACCTACCTTTGCAAGCTCCACACCACGACTTGTGGATGATAACCATAAGAGGCAAACCACTGAAAAAAAACCCAATAAAGCTGTCAAAGAAAGCTCACAGAAACCAAATTCTATTACATGCACATTTTAACAGTCAAGACTTCTGCAAAGGCTAAATGTAACAGCAAATAAGAGAGATGTACCGACATTCTGCCACGGTTTCACGTTTCTGACAAGTAAAGCGATACCACTACAGGTGACTTTTGGTGCTATTCAGCACACCCAGGTAGTACATTTACCTCCACACCTTCTCTATGTGGGAAGCCCTTAATAACACTTCCATTGTCTCTACCATCCAACAGTTGAACTGGTGAAAGCTGACTAGGGTGATACACTAAGAATTGGGTATCTCATCCCTTTGCTCTTACCAATAAAGCCCTTAAGCTATGGAAGAGTATCCAGGGGAAGCTGGTAATAATGACACAGCTTCCAGAACAGTACGAACGGCCTAAAACTAGGTGGAGGAAAAGAAAAAATCGGGAAAAATATACTATATGGATACTCGTTCAGAATATGCCAGGCAAAGCAAAGTTTAAGCTTTCTGCTATTGTAAACTGTTACCATTTTGGGGAATAAAAATGACGCAAATTTCTCACAGAAATTAGAAACATCTTTACACGTGACGGCAACTCAGTTAATTACCAGCAGAACTGAAGTAGAGTTTTTATGTAGCTGTAGATAGATAGGAAAGGCAGGCTCTGCTTAGCAGCATTCACTTACAGCCTTTAGAACCAGGAAAGGGCGGAGAGGAAGCAATTAACATTTAGAGCAGTTCAAACAGAAGCCTGCCATTTATAACTATCCAGCATGTCATCATCTTTACAAAGGGCTCTGCAGTAAGGAGCAAGAATACGCATCTGCCTAGTCAAGCTCGTACTGCATCAGCCTCCTCTCTCTAACGATGAAAAAACCTATTTGTTTCCAATGTTTCCACACAGTGCAACATGATTTTGCCTCTTTCTTGATGAAAAGCTGATTTAAGTCTGGAAAATACACATGGTCCTTATCATAAAGGATCAGTGCTTCATGTCAGGAGATCAATCATCTGGTACTGCCACACACCTTAGTTTCTTTAAAGGTAGGAGAGATTTTCAAAGCAGGTTTTAAAGGGAAGCGCTCACAGCCCTGAAATACCAACTCTCTGCCAGCGCGAACTCCCAGGAATTTTAAAAACGCAGAATGTACTTTCTCAGATTTATTCTCTTTACTTTGACTGGGAAAATAAACTTACCTACATCAACACATTTTTGTAGTCTTCTCAGTTCTGCAATGCTAAGTCCACCTAGCAACTGGTACGTCACATAAACAGCCACTGTAACTGAGGGAACCCGTCCTGCCCCGCTTTACCGTTCCCTCCCAGGTAGCACTACACATACAATTCAACCCAAAAGACACAGTTATTAAAAGGAGGGATGAAGCATCAGCCAGAAAGTGAAACGTTCATACAAGCTACATATGTGGTATGGCAAAGACTTAAGTTAGCTGAGACTCAGCACAAAACTAAGTTCCCCATCACAGGTAGTACAGACTTTCACTCAGACACAGTCATTTTAGCTCATTTTTCCAATGACAGCACTCATCCCTAAACAATTAGTGTTTTTAAAGGCCTTTAATGATGACCTTGCAGAGAAAAGACATAGCAATTCATTTCAATAACACAGTCCTGCAGGTAAATTACGACTTTACTCCACTTAAGGCACACATTTTATTGTTAAATCTGAAACAGAGAGGTTTGAGTTTGCCAAGCCCGCATCCTTTTGTCACACACAGTTTCCAAATCTATCTTTTGGGTTCAGTAGGATTTTTTTGAAATAGTAACATCCCAAAAATACAGCCTGTTCCAGTTCTGAGCCTGAAGCCTCTCCTGCAGGCTGACATTATCTGGAGACAGTCTTGGAAGCACAACCTTCTTACTCAAGACACGCACATGCCAACGCCGAAGGGAAAGGTTTTCTCTACGGTCAGCACCTTTAGGGCTTTCGCATTCCGACACTGATTACTGGGGTTTAGGTCTCCACTGGAGACCACGTGCTTGGGGATGCAACAGTAGGTGTCCTTTTCTTAAGATGCAAGCGGGGAGAACGCAGGCACGGGACAACAGCATCCCTTCGGATCCTCGCAGCAACACAGCTTGGAGAGCAGCTGCAGGGGCACGGCACCCATCTCCCC